AAAAACTAGGCCAAAAAGTTCTCAAAATCATTGGTGCCAGTGGTTCCCTGGTTGACTGTACAGAAGCCTGAAAAGACAGAGAGATGACCTAACTAGTCTAAAAATGTTCTTATACTTTAAAACTATTTGGGGCCAAAGAGATGGCTCAATGATTAAGAGCCCTTAACTGCTCTTTCAGAGGACCAAAATTCCATTTCCAGCACCCACCTGTAACTACAGCTCCAGAGGATCCAACATCTCTTCCCTTCACAGGCACCTGTACTCAGTGTGCACATTCCCACACAGATGTGCACATATGTACATAAATAAAAATAAAATACTTTAACTAGATGGGGTGCATGTCTTTGATCCCAGCACTCAAGAGGTAAAGGCAGGCAGATCTCTGAGATCAAGGCCAGCCTGGTCTACATAGCAAGTTCCAGGCCAGCTAGGGATACAGGGAGACCCTTTCTCAAAAAAAAAAAAGAAAAAACAAAACAAAACATTCAAAGGGTTTTTATTTACACCCCTGCATGCACACAGCCTCCTGCACCATCAACATCCAACAGAGTAGCAGGCACTGTTGTTACTGCCAGTGAAGTGGCAGCAACCTTTAAGTTCATAGTTTACATTAGTGCTCATTCTTGGTGGTGTATAGTCTGTAGGTTTTGACAAACATAAAGTGGCATGTATCCATCACTAGAAAAGCATACAAAATAGTTTCATTGCCCCAAAAAACCATCTGTTCAACCTATTCATCCCCTTCTCTCTCAAGCCCTGATAACCATGTATGAGGTCTGCTCCCACCCATTCTAAACTTACACTGGCTTGATCATGTACAGGACTTGTGCAGGCAACCATAAGTGCTGTGAGTTCATGAGTGCATTAGTCCTGTCACATCCAGAAGACTGTTTCACAGCAATCCTCCCCCACCACTGACTCACAATCTTTCTGTCCCCTCTTCCAAGATGTTCCCTGAGCCTCAGAGGAGAGGGGGGAATATGATATTGAGGGAATATGATATTGATGCCCCATTTATGGCTGAGCACACCACAGTCACTTTTCCTCTGCACTTTTGGCCAGTTGTGAGTCTGTGTATTAAGTATTATTTACAATAAAAAAGCTTCCTGGATGAGGATTGGAAGCTTCAGTCATCTATTGAGTTAGAGATAAGCATTAAAAAGACAGTTTTGTACTGTGTTCATTTAGCAAAATAATAGTAGGTTTTCCCACAAGGCCTATGAGCCCCCCAGCCATGGATTCTTGGCCAGATTTATAGTAAAGGCATGAGTTTCCAGATTTACAGTACAGGCATGGAGCAGGGCTTAAAGCCATCAGAAAGCAGTTGGTTAGCCCTGTAACATTTATGCCACTATTGCACTATTGGGCATATCTTGCCAGGCCAGTCATTATTGTAGCTTGCAGGGTTCACAGCTGGGTAAGACTATTGATCCGTCTCCCCCAGCAGCCTGCATAGCACTATCTGATCAGGAAAGCTATACTCTTAACGTTCTATGTAATCTTCTAAGATTATTGCAGTTTTGTTTACTTACTAGGTAGAGACCTTGAAATATAGCCCTGGGATGCTCAGACATGTTTTATTGGTCTGTGGTGTTTGTATTAGCCTGAGAGGTTTTATCACTCTGCACTAATGTTTTGAAATTCTATGATGTTTAGCAGTCATTATATCTATTGATAGAGATGTAAAACTAAGAGAATGGAAAGTTTACCATATAGTTTAATGAGGCCTGGTCCAATTAGTCCTAGAAAAGTATAGATCAAATGTGTCAGAAACCTAAACTACTGCCAATGTTACCTGCTTTTGTAAACTGAAATGACCATTTGACTGGGTCCTAGCCCAATTTGCCTTGCCTAGTTGTAGATAAAAAGTTGGCAGATATCCTGACCCATGCTTGGGATACTTAACTTTTAAGTTATGTTGGCTGGGTGAACTCAGAAAGGAATTTCCTGAGATAATATGGCCCATCATGAAAGGAAACATAGGGCCCGAGTGTTAACCATAAAATGATGATGTAAAATGACTATATAATCCTCATTTGTACTCCAGTTGCTGGCCAGAGACTCTAAAAGACATTGTTGCTTCTAGGACCCTCATGCATGAGTAAAGAATAAAGGAGCTTTCTGACTCTTTCCTGGGTGAATGCTTGGTTTCTTTGCTGTTCGAAGAAGATTTTTTCCATAACACTTCCAGAACTGTGAAAACTTGCCAGCAAGGAGGAAGTCTGCAGGTCAGCACTAGCTTGATTGCTCCATGCCCTGTGACCAAAGTGTGTATTGTCTTCATCAATTGGGTCTTACCATCAAGTTCTGGTGGACAGCTAAGATCAATGGTCTTTGGGATCTCCTTACAATTCTGTGTATTTCTATCTCACTGTTCTTTGTTTTCATAAAGCTTCTACATTCGTTATCTTGAATACGTAAGTTTTTAAAAAACTATTTGAAATTAATGTAATATATATTTTATATCAATAAACATCCAGTCAGAAAAACGGGTTCTCCTGTAGTTATTTCAATTAGTAAATCTAAAACACACAAAAAGGTTTCAACCCAGGCGTGGTGACCAAGTCTTTAATCCCAGGACTTGGGAGGCAGAGGCAGGAGGATCTCTGTAAGTTCAAGGCCAGCCTGGTCCACATGGTGAATTCCAGGCCAGCTGGGGCTACAGGGAGACCCTGTCTCAAAAAGACCAAAAAAGATTTAAAATGTATTGGAGGAGATAATTAAAAGCAAAAGGGAACAGTGCTGAGTATGATGATGCACACCTATCGTCCAGTACTCAGATGGTAGAGGCAGAAAAATCATAGATTCAAGACCAGTCTGGGCTACAAACTGAGACGTTGTCCGAAGAAAACAAACAAAAAAGCAAGAAGGTTACAAGACAGTCTCCAGACATGAGTTACTATAATGGACTCCTCTCTGCCTTCAGGTTGGAAGAATGAAAAGGAAAATAGTTTTACCCCAGGCCTGTCACTGATCCTCTGAGGCTACTATTCTGCTGTTGCTAGAGAATTTGCCACCAATAGGAAACCAGGAGCCATGTCTGCTCCTGGACACTGCACATGAGACTCCTGTGCCCAAGGAATCTACAAACTCAAAGCTGGCATGCTGGCTCACACCTGTAATCTCAACACTTGAAAGGCAGAAATGAGAGAATCTCTACAAGTTAGAGGCCAGCATGGACTACATAGTAAGTGCCAGACCAGCCTGGACTATAGAGTGAGACACTGTCTCAAAAAGAAAAAAAGAATTCACAAGCTACAAGCTGTGTGTGATTCTTGGAGCCTCTTCTGTCTCCACTGGAACCAGAAAGGCATGCTACTGGGATTGCAGGCCAATCCCACCCTGGAGTGAGGAGAAAGGCTCAGTGGTAGAATGTGTACCTATCATATGATAGGACCTCAGGTTCGGTTCCCAGTGTCATAGACAACAGAATCCTACTCCTGAGCGAGCAGGAGAGCAGAAGGCAGGCTTATCCATCACCAGCACTGCTGCAGCCGTCTAAGGATCAGATGCCTCCACAGAAAAAGAAAGACAAGTCTTCTCTGTTTCTCCCACATTCCATTCTCCTCCAAAATCTCTTATGGGCAGAACCAATAGAAAAGAAGAGCGGGAGAGATGGCTCAACAGTTAGGAGCACTGGTTGCTCTTGCAGAGGATCCAGGTTCAATTCCCAGCACCCACATGGCAGCTAACACCTGTCAGTAACTCCAGTTCCAGGGGATCCAACGTCCTCTTCTGGTCTTTGTAGGCATTGCATGCACATGGTGCAAATACATAGAGGCAGACAAACCACTCATACACATAATATAAAATATTTTTAATAGTCTAGGAAACAAGTTGGAGGTTTCCACTTGTCTATATTACAGAAGAGAGATGGAGACTGAAGCCGGAGCTAACCCTAGTGTGTTCTTGAACAATAGCAATTATTTCTTTTTTTATTATTCTTTGACAGCTTCATACATTATATATAGTGCATATAATGTATTTTGCTCTATTCATCCCCCCCATCATTCTCATCCCCTCTCACTCCTGCTGAACCCTTTCTCCCTAACAAGCTCTCCTCCTGTTCTCATGCTTTTATGTGTGTGACCCACCGAATTTAAATAGGGTTGTGGCATGAACATGAGTTAAGCACAATTTGCTGGAACATGAGCAAATTGTGGCCACACCACTAAAGAAAATGACTCCCCCCGCCCAGCAACCATTAACTGCCAGTTGCCTCCCCCATTCATGATTGAATGTTGACAGCAGGTAACCACAGCTGCTGTGATATCATGAGATTCCCCAATATGTTCAGAATGGGCTTCCGCCATTCAGTTACGGCCTGGAGATCAAAGACAAAATTTCAAGGGGAGAAGAAACACAGCCTCAAAATTGTCATACAGCAATCCTTCTGAGGTTTTTCGTTTGCCAGACTGCACAATCACATGAGCCAGTTCCTTTTAAATGTCTAGCTCTGGACAACCCGCAGGCCTCTCTCTGGGGTAAGTGGATCACGCCCTCTGTGGATTGACCCCCCCATTCACCCTCCCATCTAGGCCTGCGGTGTCTCCTCCTAGCCTGGGTCCTGTCCCATTCCTTCTCTTGGCGCCCCAGACACCTGGGGAAACACCACTGCTTCCTGATCCTTTGAACCCAGACCAACCCAGTTCCTTCTGGGGTCCCCAGGAGCTCTCTGGGCCTGTCCCCACCCTCACCTCTCTCTCCTTCCCTAGGCCTCGCTCCAGAATAAGTCCACACTGCCCCCAAGCCTTGACTCACCCAGCCCATTCACCCTTCCATCTCCGTCACCCATCTCTCCTCCCAGCCTGAGACCTGTCCCATTCCTTGCCTTGGCAACCCAACTCGGGGGTGGGGGTGGGGGAACCACCACTGTTTCCTGATCCTTTGCATCCAGACCAACCCACTTCCTCCTGGGGTCCCCATCCTCCTTCTGGGGTCCCTCTGGGGCTGGTCCCGCCCTCACCTCCCTCTGCTTCCCTGGGCTGCACAACCCACCAGCCTCTTTCCTGGATGCTGGGGCTGACCTTTCCTCTTCCTGATCCTATGCATCCAGACCAACCCAGCTCCTCAGTGCAGTCTCCAGGAGCCCTTGGGGCCACTTCCCGCCCCATCTTCCTATGAATCTCTGGGTGGCACTGTCAGCAGCTGCCCTAGACCAGCATCTTTCCTGGGCCTGGCTCCCAGGCCAGTCCAATCCCCAAATTCCTGAGGCCAAAATCATTCCTGGAGGGATCCAGACCTTAGGAGAAAGCATGAGAGCATCTGATCCTCATCTGACTTGGGCCTCTGTGGGAACTCCTGAAGACAAAAGCAATCTGGCCACTCCAATATAAAATCAAAAGAGAGAACCAGAAGCTTAGAGGAACCAGCTTTTAATGCCCAAAAAGGAAACCACAAAGACACATAAGTTTACAAAAAGAAGCAGGCTTAAACTTGAAGGT